CACTTGTAGATGTAACTTCTTTATTACAATACAACACTCCAACAGTCCTGATACTCTGTTACAGCCTAGGTACACAGCCTAGGTACACAGCCTAGATACTCTAGATACTCTACTCTGGCTACGCTCGCCCTCACAAGGTCGTAGAGTCGGGAGTTCCAGAGTCCCACCACTGGCTCTCACAGCATCCCAGGGTCTTCAGATGGCTGGTCGTGGGTCTTGGGTCTTGAGTTACAACTGGGCCCCGATCGTCCAGGGAGCTCTCCTTTTATGCCTGATCCAACGAGGGGTGGGGCCGTGTGCGCCACCAGACATCCCACAGAGCACACACAGCCCCCCCCCCCCCCCGTTGGCGGCGCCCAGGGGATTAAGCGCCTGGGAACTCAACGCCTGGCGCCCAGAGGCTTAAGCGTCTGGACCCCCTGGGAACCCAGCGCCTGGCGCCCAGAGGCTTAAGCGTCTGGACTCGCCTGGGATCCCAGAGCCCCCAGCAGCCCCTCCCTTCTTATGTCACTACACAATGATAGGTGCAATTTGAGGCCATGTAAGTGTGATCACGTGTCAGCAGGTCATGGGAATGATCCAGGTGTCAAGCCAAGACTGACAGCTGCACCAGCTGTGCTCCCCACTATCTTGCTGGGTTTTAGGAACCCAGCATTCCACCCAATCACGTGAGCGTCACTCTTCTGACCTCATCGTTGTTGCGCAGCAAATGCCTCCAACTGCCCTGCAGCATACCTCATGGGCCTCCACAGAGGCCAATCTTGACACTCCTGGTACCAGTCATCGACAGGTCCGGTCACCTCCACATCCTCCAATCTCTTCTCTAGCCAATGCCATACCTGTTAACTCATAATATATGGACTAACAGAAACTGCTTGAGCATGCGGTGTCTGGGAATGTAGGATTCATGACCCAACCAATGCAGCCTTGCCTGCCAAAGAGACTCACTGATTATATTCTATATTGATATCTTAAGGATCTGTAAGCTTAAACTATAATATAGTCTTGATTAATAGAGGATGGATCATAGGCAGGCCAGCCTTCATTGTGTAACGACTCCGGACTCGAGCTTTATAGGTTTATTTTATTGCACTTAATGTAGCTTAGGAACACGTCGTCATGAGATAATGCCGACTTGGAGATCGTATGACCGAGCAGACAGTGACGACGTGAAGACGTGAAGACAGCGACGATGGCCCGAGTCCCTCGCAACAGCCCCGAACATGCCTTCTTGCCCGGCTTTTATCCTCGTGGATTCTCTGGGGGAATTTACCCAGCTGTCTATTTTGGACACTCTGGAGAATTTACCAACCAAGGACCTCTGGGGGAATTTCCCAACCATGATCCTCCAGTCTTGCTGGCGGCTTGTCTTTTCATCCAGCCTCGCTGACACCCTGTCTTCACATCGAGACTTGCTGAGAGTTTTTTCATCACCCCCCCCCCTTAAAAACAGTATCCGTCTCGGTTAATAACCATTTTTAGCGGAACCGTGCGTTAGGGCAGAACTTCACTAAGGAATTTTGTAATCGGACTGTGACGATCACGAGCTCAACAGCCTATTTTAAGGGGTAAGTAGTGTGACTCCACTCACCCAATAACAACCCATTTAACAACAAACCATCCGCACGTAGCTCAAGGGGGGGGGGGTCTTGAATGTCCTTGGATTGGTTTTGGGCCTACTAACGCACTTTGAGTGGGTTCTCGATGCCGGTCCCTTGTCTTTTCCAGAATTTTGTGCCGTCCCGGGCGTTAAAGGGTTCACCCAACTCCCTTAAGGGATGTGGGCTCATCCCCGGCCTCCCTTGACGAACTCGAGCGGGCTCCCGAGTTCGGTTCCTTGCCATGTGACGGATTCTTGGGACACCCCGGGCTTTGGAGGCGTAGAAACTGTGGGCGGCACAACAACTTCCTTCTGGAGTGCAGTTTCCGTAGCCAAGCGCCCCAGCACGTCGGACATATTCATATGAGTATATGAATAAGTACAGACGTGTAAGTCATGTGTGACTGTATATATATAACTTGATACTGACATATATGATGTTGATATTTTTTTCTGTCTGCAGCTGATGCTTCCCCTGCCACTGTGCTCTGCAGAATTGGTCTGATGCAGCAAAGGCACTCAACCCAGCTCGGTACAAAAAAATCAACGATACGACCAGCACGGATCATACTGGAAATTTGACAGCACCAGAGAACTCGCACAGGAGAGAAACCATTAAAGTGCACTGTGTGAGAATACATTTGCACGGTCATCAGTTCTTCAGAACCACCAGAGAACACACACGGGAGAGAAACCCTTCAAGTGCAGTGTGAGGGAAGGAATTTTCAGAACATCCCCAAGGAGCGGAGTCTGAAATCGGCTTGTGAAAGTCAAAGTGCTGCAAGGCGCCCATCCTTAATGATAAAATAAAATCCTAGCTTAGACAATTTAAAAGGTATCAAGGTGAAATATGAAGAGGCGAAGGTGAAATGTGAAGAAGTGGCAGTTAAGAGCGAAGAAGTGAAGGTAAAATGTGAAGATGAAGCTTCAACTCCAAAATCAGACCTTCACATCGATGGAGGCAATGTGAAACAAGCGCAGAATTATGACTGAGGCAGAGCCAGGCAACTCCCACCAGTTTGTGTAGGTGGACGTGTGGCTGGACTTATTAGACAATACAAAGTCAAATGGAGACCCGGTAGACGTGTAAGCTTGAGACAATGAAGCTCCAATAGATTCACCTTTGTCACAAACCTTTAATGAAACAATGTGAAGTTGAACACTCAATTCCTAAGTTCAACCTGCAGAGTAAGAGCAGCCAGTATTTGTGGACCTGTGGGTTGGATAGATCTCTAACCAGGAGCCAGGGCCAATAAGCTCCCAATCATTCACTATGTTATGATAATAATCTTTGCATTTATATGGTGCTTAATTGCCCATAATAGAGGTTTTTTGGGGGTTAGATCGCATAAATATAAATGTTTGGTGAAACCTGCCACCACGCGATTTGTTCTCCAACACACCGGTGTGCTGTACTAGTGTAGTGTAATAATGCTGACTGTTGTCCAGCAACGGCAACTGCAGCGACAAACAGTGCACACGCCAGTGAGCATTTACACGGGTGTGTCGGCAGGGCAGAAGACCTGGGGCAAGGGTCACGAAGACCCCATCTGGAAGCCCCTGGAACCTGCTAGTGGGTTCGAGAAGGGAGGCGCGGCCAGGGCAGAGCCAGGTTTCGCTGGGTAGCATAAAAACAGAGAGCTGGAGCTTAGGCCTGTCGGTTCTGGGAGTGGGCTCGTATCGTCGTTGCTGTCATCTTTGCTGCCTTCATCGCTGCCGTCTTCGCAAGATATTGCGCGGCCGGATAATTGGCTCTTTTGGTCAGCACCATCGGTGTTACATGGTCAGGGTTGTTTTTAGACTCGGCTAGACGACTAGAGAGAGCGCATTTATAATTATGTGATCTAACCCAAAAAACCTCTGGATGATTTTGGTTGCGAAAGCCTACGTGTTAAACTTGCTTAATTGCCTCAGCAATTAGGAGTTTTGTATCATATCTCATCACAAACACTCGAAGAGCACCCCTAAGTGGCAGCTGCCTCTGTGTGGCATAAGGTGGCCCAGCACCAGCCTGCATGTGGGCATGAGTCTGTCAGTAGGGGGCTAAAATTGATGTGTAATCTCAGTTGTGTTCTGGATAATATTTGGAATTACCCAAATTTTGACAATGACACCAACATGCAAAGACCTTTGTGTTTTGAAGGACACAATAGTCAGTTTTACATCCATCGGTTAAGCAGACAGTGCATATTTTGGTTAATGTAACTGGAGTAGCCAGGGGTGCCTGTCGGATTTGTACCTTGAACCTCTGCAATAAATAGAGAGTGCGCTACCACTTGGCTTCCCTCAATCTGAGTGTAGCAAGGCCGTAGCCATGGAGTCAACATTGGGGGGACCAAATCTTCCAGGGGGTCTGGGGTCCTCCATCCCCCAGAAAAAAAAATCTAAATTTGAAAACGACTTTCCTGCCTAAAATATTTAAAAATTCACTAAGACATAGGATGGACTTTTTATTTATTTCTTACAATAATGTCTAATAGTATATTGTATGACATTGCTCTGTTTTTTCATTTTTACATTTTCTTGTTTCATTGTATGTAAAGAGATTAGGGATTAATAAAGTACAACCATAACCACAATCATATGAACATAAATCTATTTTATAGCAATATATATGGGGGGGGGGGGGGTGTGCCCCCCCCCCCCCATATATATATAATTACGGCCTTGGAGTGTAGGCATACCAGCCTGTGTTTCTAACCAGCGCAGATGTTCCATTTAGAGGGTTCCACGTTTCACATGCCTAGAGAAGGGAGGCATGACTGTGGCCGAGAAGACCCGAAGCTTCATACGGAGCGACAGACCAGGTAGCTTCCACACAGCATTACAGGAGCTGATGAAAAGATAATGCCGCCCGACTGATTCAGACCACCCACACACTGTTCAAACATATGCAGTGTAGACGTATTGTGTACACACAGAAAAAGACACACACAGTCTGCACATACACTGTATACACAAACACACTTTAACAAGAACGACCGCCATTCGCCACTAAGTGGCGGTGACGTCACCACGGCGCTTGTGCCAGGTTGTATGCACGTTAAGGCCACGTGAAGTGTTGGTCGCCCGCCGTCAGGTCACAGGCCAGACTCAGGTGCCATGGGTCGACTGAGATGACTGGCCGGTGCACCACCTATGACACCTACTGTGCCAACAGTGTACACACACAGTGTATACACACACAATAATGTTCACGTTGTTGTCGTTGAGCTCACGCACCCAAGGGGTCAATGTTCAAGAGAGGGAGCAATGGAATAGGAATCTTAATAAACTACACTCGTTCGCTGACGTCACCAAAGCATTACCTCATCAGTGAGACGCGAGGGGGAGGTGTACCCCGCTAGTGACGTCATGTCACCTCGTGCTGCCGCGTGACGTCACGAGATACCAGAAAGCTGCCGATTCGCGCGCGCGCTCACTGCGATCCGAGGTGAGAAGTTCACATCGTGGTGGTTGTTGTTGTTTACCCAGGTAGAGCCTCGCTCCTCTCTCTCATAGGGACATCAATTGAGTAGCAGTGAGTATGGAATCAATGTCCAAGTTGGAACATTACAACGCGGAGCCTAGCCATGCGGGGCCTTGCCTCCTGCCGTCGCCTGATTGCATTTGCTTTAATTCTCTGCTTAAGTTGAATTTGTCTTAACCTGGCTCACTACTTTAAACTTTGTTTCCTTTAAATGTATATACAGTTTTTTGTATTTTACCAGGCCAATCCCACTTGAGCTATACCGCTCTTTTTCAGAAGCAACCTGCCCACAACAAAGTGGCTTATCAACGTGTGGAAATGTATGTCGGTCAAATACTTTAAACGCGTGGTGATGTTGCCTCTAAATGTGGAGGGAAAAAACGGAGGATCCGGAAGAAATTCCACGCGACCACGGGGAAAGAGACGCGCAAACTCCAAATATATATCCGTAATACAGGTTTGTGTTAGATCGCGTAAATATATAAAGGTGTCGTTAAACCCGCCACCACCCGACACAGCCAACTCGTAAGGGTTGTCACATGAATAGAACGTGGCCAATTCGTCACTAGTACAGCACACCGGTTGTGTGTTGGAGAGCCAAGCCACAACATTTACCATCAGAATACGGCGTTCGCCAGTAATTACAACCAGCTTCATCAGGCGACAGCCAAATGTTGTGGCTTGGCTCTGTGGGAATATAAATCATGTCGCTGGGTTTATAGCGCAGCACGCTAACCATTGCACTACCGCTCCCCACTCATGCACAAGCATTATCATTGAAAGTATAGTATTCAGTAATAACTAAGTTACCCGGCTTCGCACAGGTCTCAGTAATCAAACATTAAGAGTAATGTCTTGCAATGCTGGCTTTATTAGAATGATTTAAGTATGTCAATGAAGTCTGTAAATGTGTGTATATTGCCACGGGTTATTGGTTGTGTTATACAATCGTAGGGCTTGTTTGTTCATAATGAGGACAGCTTTTAAATTCGTTGCACTTGGAGAGCTTAAGGATAGACAATGTTGGATGTTTTGCCATCTGGTGGATTTAATCGAATGAAGCTTCAATTTTGGCATACATGTCGACAGCAGTTTGGCGAGGTGGGAAATTGTAGCCATCATCACCTTGCCAGAAAATCAGTAGACATTGAAGAGCACCATAGGATCAGAGTGTTTCATTTCTGTGTAGGGTATTGGTACTCATTTGCAAGGCAATGCCTTGAGTAACATGTTCTTCAGCAGTCAGAAAGACGGCAACTTAAGATGTTGTGAATGCATTTAAGTGGTACTCATGTTGACCATGTGGAGTTTAGTCAGCATGAATGACAACATTGTATTCTGAAGTCATCTTCTCCATAGCACACTTGAAACTTTGAACATAAGAGTTTTCCTTATAGACCATGTCTTGCCACAATAGACCTTGCATCTTGGTGTTGATGACATTTTTGCGGTGCGGTTGAGCCTGTCTAGCTAGTATTGTCAGACATGCAAATAGATATGTGGTAGGTAGGTCATTAGCAAGTGGCAGCAGACAGCCAATGCGATATTACCTGTACCTGCAATTTAAATGTGGGCATGTAGCCAGATGTCGTGATGAGATAGTTGGTGCCAAAACATATAACTTATACTTTGGAATTGGCTTGCATATGTGTCGTGTTGGCTGGTATCAATACATGAATAGGCTCGGGATGGTCATTAATTGTAGGCAGCTGTACCATGGGACAGTTGCAGCATAGCCCTGGAGGGTCTCCTTTCCATGTCATTGCATGGCAGTAGCTGCAAGAAGTAGACATGGAACCAATGGCAGGAAATTATTTAGCTGTAGGTGCAGCCATCGCAGCACTGGGAGCATGCCGTCTTGCTTCTTGGTTGTTCAGGAGTGTCATCAATAAGTGCAGCCATCGCAGCCCTGGCAACATGCTCTTCTTAATGTTCGGGAGATTCATGAGCTGCAGGTGCAGCACAGGCAGCATGCTGTCTAACTTTGTGTTAAGGAGTTTCATTAGCTCTAGGTGCAGCCATTGCAGAACTTATACGAATGGCATCAATGATTGTAATCGGCTTTGAAGAGAAGCGCACGTTTTCCGCGAGGAACATAGGCGGAGGTTAAAGTTAATAAGCATGAAGAGTAAATAGTGAGTGTGTGAGTGAATGCTATAGAGTGTTAAGGAAATTATAGTTGAATATGCAATCGTTGTAGGAATGTGAAGACATAGCCGCAAATGAACGAAGTAATTGTTAATAGTGCTTGATGTGGTTATTACTAGTGTGTGTGTGTGTACATGTATTACATTTTAACGCGAATGCATGTATTTTCAGGCAATGTAGGCTTGATGTATTTAGTCGTAGCTGTTGTATAGCATCTATGTTGTGTAGAAGGTCGGTAGTGTCGGTACGTAGATGTAAATATTTTAGAATAGTACATGTTTTTTTAAAATAAATATTGCAGTGTGTGTTAGAGGTGAGCCGTGCATGTGCAGAGAGGACAGTAAGGAGCTGGAAGTGGATGCATGTGGCGGCAAAAACGCAGGGCTGATAATTGGGAAGGATAACGTGGTAAATATGAGAACAATTTAGCAGTGCAGTGGAGACACTTATGTTATGGTGAGTGTGTGGAACTGTAGTTTCTGAAATGTCAATGTGTTTGCATGTGTGGCAAACCGGAAGTAGTGAGAATGCCCCGGGCTTTAACACAGGACAAGAGAAAGAGAGGAGGGGAGGTGAGGAGCAGGGGGGGGGGGGGGTACAGGTGTTGAAGATGAGCAGGTAAGCAAAAAATTGCGTGAAAAACACACCAACGTTTGGGGTGTGTTGGTGCAATTTGGTTCACAAAAAAATCTACACAAGCCAAAGGCTGCTTTATATTTATAGTTTAATCCTATTTTTTCTCTTGAAATAGTTTTTGTATACAGTTTCTCCGTGTTTACTTCAATTGTTTAGTTTATTTGGACTATATTACTGTACTTATTTCAAGTGTGATGTTGTGAATTTTAGTTGACGTTTACCTACCGCCATTACTTAGGTAAAGTTTAAGTATTGAATATCGCGATTTTAGCTTTTGCAATTAAAAAGAATGTGTAGTATACTAATTCACAGACACTAGTAGGAGGTTCTCTTTCTTTTATTCCGGGCTTCACAGCCATAGGGGATAACTACATACCGGGTCTGGACAGTCAACATGCTTCCAGACCCACAGCTTGAAGAGGGCGAAGATCACGACGACGGCAGCACGACGATTTCACTCCAGATCGCAGCAGCCCCGACTAAGTTGGAGCTCTCCTTTTATCTTCCCCAGCGTGGCAAGGCTCCTCCTTCGGCCCTGCACCCCTCTGGATCCCCCAGAAGGCTCTGTGCCTTGCCCACAGGTCCAACTGGTAGTACGGGCTGCTACCCCAATCCCATTGTCTACCAATCTCCCAGCGGCACGCGCTACAGTGACTCATTCAATGTCACTATTAACTATAGCAGAGGCGTACGGATTTTCAACAGAAACTAGATCTTCATCATGAGGCCTCCTTTGCCAGTACCAAAATATACTGATAGGGTTTTTCCCCTTTTTTCTGGAAACAAAACTGACACCTTTTTCAAGGAATCATGTTTACATTAACCACAATACTTGCAGTAAAAATGCAACAAAAAAACAATACTCTGATCATTTATGCATTGTCCTTGAAACTCATTGGTCCACACCAGAGACAGCTTTTCTTAGAGCCTAGTCCAGACATGGGCAAAGTACGGCCCGTTGGGCTTTTTAATCCGGCCCGCCAAACTTGTCCAAATAGTATTATTATTAAATTACATTTTACATTCCTCCTGTAATTCCCCCATTCCCCCATTAGATGTCGCACTTAGACTGGGAGTGTGGTGTACAGTAGAACCTCTGGTCACGACCATAATTCGTTTCATAACTTTGGTCGCAACCCGATTTGGTCGTGACTCGAACCTAATTTCCCCATTGATTTGTATGTAAATACGATTAATCCAGTCTAGACTCCTACAAATTGTATATAAATATTGTTTTTACTGGTAGGAACGAAGTGGACCAGCCTACAATAGATTATATTGTCCGTTCGCCCGTCCGTGTAGCAACATCGCCCCCTACTGCAAACACTTGGCATGACCCTACAAAAACCTTTAGACTCTGTGAGGCTTTCCTGGCTAAACAAGTGTAACATTCCCTTATAATTCCCTCAGATAGCTTTTAATTAAAACATTTAAATTAATTAGCCTTTCCTGGCTAAACACGTGTAACATTCCCTTATAATTCCCTGAGATAGCTTTTATTAAAACTTTGAAATTAAATAAAAACTCACAGCGCCCTAAAGCCTACAGCTAGGCCTAAAGCCTAGAACTAGGCCTCAAAGTCTCCCTTCGTATCGTACCCCCGCGTGTGTGAAAGGGAGTTAATGTTTAACAATGTTACATTCCCTGATGTTTTAAAATAAAAACATTTACATTGAAAGCGTTTACATTAATAATTAAAACATTTAAATTATACATTAATAATTAAACATTTAAATTAAAAATTAACTCACAGCGCCCTAAAGCCTAGACCTAGGCCTCAAAATCTCCCTTCGGATCGTCCGATTAGGTGTAGCAACATCGCCCCCTACTGCAAACACTTGGCAGGACCCTACAAAAACCTTTAGACTCAGTGAGGCTTTCCTGGCTAAACAAGTGTAACATTCCCTTATAATTCCCTGAGATAGTTTTTAAGTAAAACATTTCAATTACAAATGTACTCGCAGCGGCCAAAAGCCTACAGCCTAGAAATAGGCCTCAAACTCTCCCTTCGTATCGTACCCCCCCCCCCCCCGCGTGTGTGAAAGGGAGTTAATGTTTAATAATGTTACATTCCCTGATGTTTTTAAATAGAAACATTTAAATTTACAGCTTTTACATAAAAATAAACTCCCTACCCCCCCGTCGTCGGCGGGTCTCCAGCCTAGAGCCAGGCCTGGGAA